AACTACCGACACCACTTGGGTTTCCATGGTGAGCGTTGGGTCCAGGTGTACCCCCAGGCTGTGAACCCCATTCTTAGCAGCCAGAATCACCCCCCAGAATGTGAGAGAGCCACCCAGGCCACCAACCCCAAGGGCGCCCACCCTCAGAACTTCCGTCTTGTCCGGGTTCAGCCTCAGCCCATTTTCCTGCATTCACTGCAGTACGGCCCCCAGGCAGCGCTGGAGGGACAGGACGGCATCACCTGCAGTTGGTGAAAAGGAGATGTAAAGCTGGGTGTCATCAGTATACTGATGACATGAGGCTCCACACCCCTTTATGACCCCACCCAACGGTCTCATATAGATGTTAAACAGCATTGGGGAGATAATCGACCCCTGTGGGACCCCACAATTGAGATTCCACGGGGCCGAGACACTCTCCCCAAGCTGTACTCTCTGGGGTCGGTCCTCCAGGAAGGAACGCAGCCAGGCTAATGCCAAGCCACCAATTCCCAACTCGGAGAGCCTCCCCAGGAGGATACCGTGGTCAACGGTATCAAAGGCCGCCGAGATGTCGAGGAGGACCAACAGAGACACTCTGCCCCTATCAGCCTCCCTCAACAGGTCATCGTACAGGGTGACCAATGCCGTTTCTGTACTGTGGTGCGGCCTGAAGCCCGACTGGAATGGATCCAGGGCATCTGTCTCATCCAAGTGGGCCTGAAGCTGATCAGCGACCACCCTCTTGATCACTTTGCTCCTGAAAGGAACATTGGCGACAGGCCTATAATTGCCAATCTCGTCCGCCGCCATATTAAGTTTCTTTCTAATGGGCCTAATGAGTGTCTCCTTGAGGGCAGAGTTCTCTTTGTGGATTGTGGGAAACTCTGAAGAACCAAAGCTGGCTTAGGGCTTGAGAAGTGGCTAGAGAAGAGGTGCCTTCCAGCACCAGTTCAGTCACACACTAGCTTTACTTGCTGTTTTTTACCCTAACTGGGATTGTGAGTATTTGGGGGTCAAAGTGGCTCCTCCAGGTACCAGGTGCCCACTGAATCCCAAATTGACTTTGCACCTGCATCTTCCCCAGGTGGAGAAGTTGAAGGAGTAGTGAAGACTCAGTTCCAGCCTTTAGCTAAAGAGCTTAGAATGTTAAAAATAAAGCTATTAGCATTAAAGATCAGAAATGGGGATATCAATTTGTTGTTGTTCAATTTGGTGCGTGTGTGAAATCATTTTATTTGTTAAACTGACATTAACTAACACAGTAATTAAATTGTTAGTTTTGCAACGAACAGTGTGATTTACAGACAACAGCATGGGTGTTGTCACCATTACCTAGAGGAAAGCCTGTTGAAATACTTACAGTACTTATGCAGTCTTTCCCTGTATATTCCAACCTAAAATCGGTCTCCTGGATTACATAAATATTGCAGATTTTGTATGTGTTCTGTCTACTGTCTATTTGTGTAATGTATACTTTGTTTTAATATTTTTGTATACTGCTTTAAAATGTTTGAATCTGCAGTTTATAAACATGGATAAGTAAGTCTTGTGTTCTAGGTCACAATACAATCCAAATCAAACAATTTAAATCCCCTTTTTTTCCTACCATACTAGCTTTTCAAACCTGACCGGGGGCTTTGGATTTATGGATGTGAATGAATTAACCCACGCAAACACCACTCAAGAAGAAACAAGACATATTAGCAGATCAAATACGCCTTTACCAATGGAATGAGAACTTACCAACCCATGGCTCTTAGACAGAGGGCATAGTGAAGGTTAGTCATTTTCAACCAGAGAAAACCCAATTAATATTACAACTAAGTAAAAAAAAATCAATAACAATAAATTATTCCCAAACTCTGCTCCTGGAGGCTGCAGCTCATTCCCTCTCCTGCCCCACCTTGTTTCTTGGGCATAGTGGGTCTAGAGGCTTGCTTTGGATCTGGAGAAGGGCTTTGTGTATTGGATGGTGCTGAATTTGACAAACAGGCCGGAGCCTTGGCCAACAGCCTTCTTTCAGAAAGCAGTGGATATCTGGTTTGGTCAACAAATGATTAGGAATTCATCCATCATCATCGCTACTGCTCCATGTGTCTTGATAAGCAGGATTTAAGTTCTGTTGAGGTTGCAACTGAAGAAAAGTGGAGTGGGGTGGGGAGGGAGAAAAGAAGATTACAATGTTAGGATGTGACCTTGTGAACAGATGCTAACACTAGCGTGTTTTGGTTCAAAAACATCTTTTAAAATTGTTCCTCACAGGCATTATCACCTTTGCTTTGGCAATTCACCTTAGCCACTAAAAGCAACCGTTAATTTTAAGTCAGTGTTGTTAATTCTTCCATGTGTTTCATTCTGTAGTTAATTCTCAAAATATTTTAATATTAAGTAAGTAAGAAGACTATACAAACAAGATAAGGAATATGAAATATAGGATGAGATGGACTATGATACCAAATAGGTAAGAAATAATAGCTCTTGCCATACCTGCAAAGTTTTGCTTATTTCATTTTCAGGAAATACCAAAAAATTTCAAAACTCTTCTCCTAGTTATGTGAGGTTACAAGAGTTTTGGTCCCCCCCCCCATTTCAGCAATTTCTTGCAACACCCCCAAAACCCACACCCCAGCCTGTGTGCATTCCTTCCATGTTGTACAAAAAAAACGTATATTCTGTGCAAAATACAAAGTTTCTAGGCACTCCCCACCACAGGATTTTTGTATATTCTGTTGCTGATGAAATGAAGCACTGGTGATTTTGCTTCTATACAACAACAAAACGTATTGCCTTTTTTTTTGGGGGGGGGGCAATGTTCCTTGATACGACAAGACTTTTTTTTGTTGATCTTGAGATTTGTTATATCCTTAGTGAACGCAATCCTGGGTTTTGGGCCTATGGTCAGAGCTTGGCAAAGTTATTCTTAAATCACAGTGTCATAATCTCCCAACCAGCAAGGACAGTAGCCATGCTGGCTTGGAGATTCTGTGAACTCTAACAAAAATGATTGTTTTAAAATATGATGGCCCTATGTAGCTCTATGACATTTCTGCTGTCACATCATTGCATCATGAACTGAGATGCAAGGCCAATGCCATGTTCATAGAGTTACAGTATAATCACTCAGTCTAGAAGAAAGCTTTCTTACAATGGCTTTAGTTGCTCACTAAAGAAATAAACAAGCATGCTTTTCTTCCTGACAGTCAAAAGACATTCCTTCACCATAGATTCTTCAGTTCTAACTTGGCTATAGTTTTTTAAAAATTACCTTTCCAGATATATCATCAGGCTCTGGCTCCCTCAAAGATGGCACCCAGGCAAGGATATTGCCATCTCTGCCACTACTATAGAGTTCCTGTTATTGGGGAATGGAATACTCACACATCAGTTACAGAATGTAGAAGGGGAAACATTGACAAATGAAATTTTGAATCAGAGGAATGTAAAACTTAGGCTAGGAGGCAGCATGTTCATAATGGAATTTACCCCCACATCCGCCCTATAACTTAAATAGAGCTAACAATATAATCCTAAACATGCGTCTTAAATAGGTTCTGCTAAGGTCAACTTATTTTACTCTCCAGAAAGTACTTTTAGAACTGTGTCTTATATTATCAGTAAGTCAGGATCTAAGATCTATTGACTGAGTCACAAACCATACAGAATACAGTGGTGCCTCGCTTAAAAGGCGCCCCGTTTAACGACGAATCTGCATAGCAACAATTTTTTGCGATCGTTTTTGCGATCGCATCGAGATGTTTTTAATGGGAAAATATCGCTTTGCGATGATCGGTAAAATGTTTCACTTACCGATTTTCGCATAGCGATAATTTCCCAACAGCTGATCGATGGTTCCAAAATGGCCGCCGGGTTAAAAAAAATGGCCGCCTGCTGTGTTTTTGCCCGGATTTCTCGCTTACCGGGCAGCGAAAATGATGGCCGTATGGAGGATTTTTGCTTAAAGGTGAGTTTTATGCCCATAGGAATGCATTAAACGGGTTTTAATGCATTCCTATGGGCTTTTTTTCCACATAGCGACGAATCCGTATAGCGATGATTTTTGCTGCACCAATTATCGTCGCTATGCGGGGCACCCACTGTACACATGCTGCAAAACTAAAGAGAATGAGATAACAGGACACAAAAATATATAACGTAGCTTCAAAATGATAGCTTCTAAATTGCAGTGGAATGTGCATAACAGTTTACTGAAAAACATGTATTTTTCCTACACTAATTTATTTTACAACCACTGACTTGTGACAAATTTGTCGCAATGTTTATATCTTTATCACATTTCATCTTATCTCTGAATCATATTTCACTAAGACTTGAACTCTGAAGGAATATAATTAGTACATCATAATTATCAATACTTAAATGGTGGTAGTATAAGTTCACGACACACTGGGTTATTTTTAAGATTATCTGGCTCTGGTATGACAGGAAATAGAACAAGAAAATACAAAGGGAAAATATGTGGTGGGGGCACTGAATATGGTCTTTTCCTCTGTCTTTCTGTTCATATAGGCATGTCTTCATTCAACAGTGGCAAATCTAGGATACACCATTTTTAGAAAAGGCAATTGGTGCTTTCCTGCTTTCTTTCCAACATCATATTCCGGGCTGTACAAGAGTACTTCTTAATACAGTAGATGTCCAGAATGGATAATCCAAAACGTGTGTTAATCAAAAGTTCTGTGCTATCAAGTCGGAATTGACCTATAGCAACCCTAATAGGGCTTTTGAGGTGAACTCCTCACACAAAAATAGCATTTGTCTTATTAGAAGATATTTGAGAAAAACAGATCAAGATTGTTATGTCCGGTGTTGGAACAGATATGCACTTCTCAAGCATATCTGTTCCAACACTGGGGAAGACAAAACAATATTTTAAACCAGGGAAGCTCTCCAGATATTTTTGGCCTATGTCAGTCCTAGCCAGAAAAGACAAAAACACTTAGAGGCCCACTGTCACTTACTTTTGTTAGATCAGACTTTGCAAATTAGATGGATATTGGCCTGTATTAACCAGGATGTTCTTATATTCAGGCCTAATGTAAAAGACTGCATGGCTAATGATTAACTACAAAACACACATTTCAATATAAATAGATACACATAATATTTAAACTATTTAAACTATTTATAACACCACTGGCATGACAGTCTGCTTACATTTCTCAAAAGAATTTACTTACCTGAAAGTTAGGTTGGAAGACGCAGCAGTCAACTGAGCTATAATGTCCCCTAAGCACTGTTATTAGGTCTCCTGAGTAAACTGTATAAAGAGCAATAGTGCTACTATATGGCACAAAGGCAAATTCTGGACTGCAGCCATGAGAGACAGCAAATTTGACACCTTTTCGACTTTCATTGCATACCTTCCCATAATTTACCTGTAAACACAAAAAGTTACAAAGTTAGCCCCTGATATAACAAAGTGAGTGTCTGCTGGTTTCACTACATTTCAAAATGAGAGCTGTTTTTGTAATGATACCGTTGAATGCACCCTCTTGCTCCATATACTGTAGCTCTCCTCTGCTGCTCCATAATAGCTTTCTTACCAATTTTAGATTTCACAGAGTGAAATTACAGAATTATATTTATATTGGCCAAAATCCCGCTGCTTAGTGTAGTAAATTGCACTAGAGTAGGCCCATTAATCTCATTAATTGCCTGCCACTGACTGAGAGCCCTGATCTCCTGAGTCCTAGTCTATCTCTCTATACACTACACTTCACTTGGAATCCAAATCAACAGTATAATTGAATGAAAAACAAAAAATGTCATCAGTTTACACTAATCTTGCCATACCTTTGAGATGTGTTAGTCTTCAATGTTCCCTATTCACAGCCACAATTAACTCTCAGGGAGATTTACCATTGTCCGAGGACTATGTCTTTTTCTCAGCTCTTGTTCAAGGCAATTATGATAAATCTGCTATGCCTTCTAGGATGGATTGTCGTCAGATGATACTTTTGCTTAAAATTATATCAAATTATTTGTCTATCTAACTCAGTACTGTTTACTCTGATTGGCAGATGACCTTTCACATCTACTGTTAACTGCCAAAGATAGAATCTGGACCATTCTCTATATTGGACTCCATGGTAATACCCTCAAAATCCAAATCTCACTACACTCCCTTCCAACAGAATTAGATAATACCATCTATTGACCCATCCTAGCAATCACTGGAAATCCAGCTGCCTTCAAACCAGAAACCTCAGTCACAAGACGTGGCAATGGCAAATGGCTTCAACCATCAGTGGAGCACAGGTGTAACTCAATGACACTGCACATTATTTTCATGCAGAAGGTCCCAGGTTCAGTGCCTGATATAGTTGGTTAACATGGTAGCAAAGGTCATTAATTGCCTGCCACTGACTGAATTTCAAAGAAAAAAAGTAAATCACATGAAGGTCCATTTGAATCAAGAAAACTTATGGAGGAGCTGAATTACTAAATCCTCACTGATTCAATGGGCATAGTCTAATGTAATTTACTACAATAAGCAACCAGATTTTGGCCATTATGTTTTTAGAAATATATTTTATTGTACAGAAATATAAAATATTTTAATAAAGCATGTTACACTTTCTTAATACCTAATACTTGATTAAGAAACAAGGTTCTGCGAGATTGCTCTTTGTGTCTCTTTTTTAATGAGTTATTGTTGGAAAGGTTCTCAATACAGTGGTGCCTCGCATAGCGAGGTTAATCCGTTCCGGATTAACCTTCGCTATGCTGAAGCATCGTTGAACGGGGCAGGGAATTCCATTGGAATTAAACCATGTTTAATGCGTTCCAAATGGGCCGAATACTCACGGTTCAGCGATGCTTCTTAATGGCCGGCAGCCATTTTTGCGCCCTCCCCTCGCTTAACGAGGGCGCGACAACGCTGCGCGTGGCCATTTCGGAGCTTCCGGCGGCCATTTTGTCTGCCGAACAGCTGATCGTGGGGGCTTCGTTTTGCGAAGATCGGTAAGCGAAACGCTTACCGATCTTCATAAAGTGATTTTCACCCTATCTAAACATCGTTGAGCGATCGAGCGATCGCATTAGCGATCCCAAAAAAGGGATCGCTATGCGATTTCGTCAAGCGAGGCACCACTGTATGTGTAAACAATTCCTGATTTGCTAGAGTTAAAAAAATTCATTAAAAACCCAGGGTAACCCAAATAAATGCAGTTTTAAAATAACTGTTTCTGTTCCTTAAATGTACGCCAACAAGGAGTGAGTGTGTGTGGGGGGAGAAGTATGATTCATGAGACAAGCACAGCCACTCCTAATGATTTGGTGGTGTATAATTACATTGACAGAGGTTGGAAATTCTCTTTGTACTTAAATCCAGATACCCCATGTAACTGTTAGCATGCCTGGCACATCTGCAAATGATAATCCAAACCTTATGTAAAGAGCTGTGAGCTTTGTCAATATTGCATATATTGTTTAGAACAGCGGTCCCCAACCTTTTTAACTCCATGGACCTGTTGGGGAAGGCTGGGCACCCCCCGTGCTTGCATGCATGTGCGAAGGAGTGGGGGGTGCTCGGGGCCCAGGCCACGGACCGGTACTGGGCCGTGGACTAGGAGTTGGGGACCCCTGGTCTAGAATACCAACTAGAAATGCACAAAAACTTGCATTTTGATTTAAATAAAGACAGGTTAGTGTGCTAGTCTCAAAACACTGCTATCACTGCAACCTAAGCTCATGCTACAATAGATATCTTAAAAGGGTAGCAAATCTCTTGAATTGCTTTTATTGCAATTCATTTGGACCTAGAAAACCTAGCCTTGACAACTATTAGCAAATATGGAGATGCAAAGAGTAAAAGAGAAGCCAAACTAGGAATCTCTTTCCTTGTCCCCAACAGATTCTTTTTCATAATTTGAAGCCAAAAGATGGGGCACAGCAGAAGCAGAAGGAAAGCTGGCATGGGGAAAGAGTGAGATTCAACTTGCAGCTATACGTAGCTTGCTCTGTTTTACAGATTTTCAGCCATGGCAGCTACTGATCAGTTTATCTGTCATTTTTACATTTGTTGCCCTGAGCTAGTTGAAGTTTGATTTTGAAACTTCACAGCAATAAAATAAGAAATAATGGGATGTGGACTTTCATTAAAGCAGGCATAAGTCTTTTTCAAAATTATTTCCCATTAGCTAAGAAGGTTTAATCTAGACAAGTATCAAATGGATAAAGGGATTAAATGAGAGGCATTCTAGATGATAGGCTGGATGGTACCACTTCAAATGGAATGGGGTAGTAGTGGGAAATGGAGAAAACTCTGAAAGAAAAAGTAACATTAGATTGTAATCCACCTCTTTGCCTGCTGTGTTAGTTCTCTATCTGCAGAAAGGTTTTGATATGGCAAACACTGAAAACAGATTTTCACAGGGTATTCCCCATCTGCGACTAACTAAATGACAGTGAAACAAAAGGACATGTAGCTGATTTATACTGAATCAGACCACCATCTATCTAGCTTAGTATTTCCTGTACTCACTGGCAGTGTTACTATATGAATCTTTGCCAGCCATGTCTAAAGATGCAAGATACTGCATCTGGGACTTGGAGGATTTTCCTAAGCAAGTTTCATTTCCATAAAATTATATTCCTCCCTAACATCAGAATCTTCAAGACATCTTAAAAATTATATAGAACATACATGAAAAACGAGTTAATGTCAAGTTAAACTATGTATTAGTAACATGTTTTGCAAGCCAGATAAAAAGTAATTTTCTGTAAATGGCAGAGACTATTGCTTTGAAAATCAGTTCTTGGATCTGGGGTTGATGGGAGGGGGGGAAAAAAAAGGAAAGCCCTTGTTTACAGCTTACTAGGCGTGGTCATGGGAAAAGCTTTACCAAGTTGCAAAACTATTCTTTATCCCTAAATATCATTAAAACACGTAATCAGTGGCTGGTTTAATTCACATTAATTACTGTGGATAAGAGAATTACGTAAGTAGGTGCAACAACCACTGTAGGTGGCCTATCTTTACCATAACATGTTGTAATGTTAGACCACTAATGTTAAACTTATAATACTCTATTTGGACAAGGGGCTTTATATGCTATCAGAAAAGCACTATAATGGTTTTACCCCTTCCTTGAAAAATAGATTAATTTTCTCTGAATTTATTTGTATGGATTGAAATATTTTATTTTTTAAAATTATTTTTTATTAAATAATTCTACATTAAAAATAAACAAAAACATGCAAATCTCAAAAAACTTATAATACAAAACAACAAAATCAATTATACAAAACAAGCACCCCCTCAAGTCAACAGGACAATTTGGATATATAACCATTTTTCCTCCCTTTCTGAAATCCCCTTCCCCTTCTAAAATTGCATTGATTCTTGCAAAGGTACACATCTCTTCCCCTTTATGATTACAAAATCAACAAATTCTCCACAAACGTCTATAAAAATATTTTCAAGGTCCCATTGATTAATTCTTTTTTAACTTCTATAAAAATATTTTCAAGGTCCCATTGAAATTGTGATTCCATATTCAGCCATATTTATTAGACTAACATAGGATAGCAAGGATATGTCTTATTTTATTAGCTATATAACATAGCCTTAAATTAGTAAGACCTTAACCCTCCTACTTTTTCGAATTTTCTACCATATCTTTCTGTTAATTCTTGCTTTTTGAACTCCAATACAAAATTTATTATAATTATTTTGGCAGCCTTTTATCTCTTCTTTGGTTATCTTTATTGGTAAAATCATATATATATATAATTTATCTTAAGAAAAATCTTCATTTTTTATACTATTATTCTACAAAACCATGAAAGTCCAATTTCCCTAAAATCATCAAATTTATTTTTAATTTCTTGCCTCATTAAAAAAATCCTTTCAATTGATCTAAATTCTTTGAAATATTTATACCTAAATATTTAATAGACCTTTGAATATTAATATTATTTTTCCATAATCATCTTTTTTCATTTTTATTATAATTAAATTTTTATCATAATTTATGCCAATTTATCTGTGACTCTATTATCGTTTCAAATTATCATAATTTTAGCCTATCCATAAGCATTAATGGTTTTCTATTGTGAATAGTGTCATCAGAAAATAAACTAATTTTTACTCTAAGTTTATTTAGTACAGTGGGAAACTGATATCTGCAGTTTCACTTATCTGTAATTTTCCACAGTTGTATATAGAACATACAAAGCAACTTCCTTGTGGCCTTTGTCCAGTGCCCTTGTATGTTGCATATAGGATTCCCTCGTATCTGTGGTTTCAGGCATCCATGGTAGACTGTGAAACCAATCCCACATAGATATGGGGATCCTACTGTGCCTATACCGCAAATTAATTTATCTGCTCTAATAACATCCCTTAACAATTCTATAACTAAAGCAAACATATCAGGAAAAGGGGCACCCTTGTCTAGTACCACCGCCTAGAGATATCTATCTGTTCTGTTATACCATCATTTTAATAATATTGTTGCAGTATACTCTGAATACAGTTGGGCTATCATAACTTTATAATCATACCCCACACCTGTATGCCTTGAAAAATGCAATGTAATTATTCCCACCTTCACCTTTTGTTTTCTTATTAAATTTATTACAGTGGGGTCTTGACTTAAGAATGGCTCGAGTTAAGAACATTTTGACTTAAGAACCACTCTCATAGGAAAATATTGACTTGACTTACATACTTAGATTTGAGTTAAGAACTGAAAAAGAACCACGTGGGAGGCAGGGAAAGCGCAAAATTTGAACTTTCAGTTAACTGTTGGCCAGTGAAAAGGGTGCCTGTCTGCTTCCTCACTCCATAATTATTCCCACCTTCACCATTTGTTTTCTTATTAAATTTATTATGTTTATGACTGTCCTAGTAGAATTTATCCTTTGTCTTCCTATTATAAAACTCTTTTGATATTATTAAATATATTTAGTAATAAAACAATTCATTTGCTTTGCTACTATTGCTCTAAGAATCTTAGCATCTTGATTTATTAAATAAATACCGGTAGGTCTATAAGTTCCTGGATCAGTTGGGTCCTTATCCACTTTTCAAAGTAATATAATTAATGTTTCCAAGATAATGGAATCTTTTCCCCAATATTATTCATTTGCTTTCCTAGTACTGCTATAAATATTTTTGCAACTTCATGTTCCCATTGTTGGTCGTCAATCAGACCCCAATCATGGAGCAAATTTAAGTCTTGATTTAACAATGTTAATCCTTTAAAAGTCAACTAAAAACATGGCTATATATTCAGGCCTTCCCTCCAGCTAATATCTGATTTTTCTTTTTCTTTTTCCTTTCTTTTCCTTTATTTATTTCTTCTGTCTTGTATTACATCTGTTATTGTATGATCTATGTAATATTTTGTGTTATCTTATTTTTATGTTATGTTGGAAGCCGCCTAGAGTGGTCTTATAGACCAGACGGGCAGGGTACAAATCAAATCAAATCAAATCAAATCAAATCAAACCAAATCAAACAAACAAACAAATAAACAAATAAATAAATAAATAAATCCTGTAATATGTTCCAGCATATAAAACTCTCAAGTATACCACATACTGTCAACTGTATCTTATTTTTTTCTTCATAAGGATGGTAGTGATGAGCTTTAGACTGTGTCTCCAGGATATTGTTTGAAAACAAAGACCGTGATATACCTGGACTGATGCAACTTCATATAACATCCATCCAGACTTTTCTCTGGCCACTTTCATAAAAACTCCTTCTTGTAGAAATTTGCAAATTTCACAACAATGTCTGTAGAAGACATCCTGCCCCATGCTTAAAGTCCACTTGATGCAATCTATCCAAATCTTCTTGAACCCAAATCAAATCTGATGCCACTGTCTTAATCCATTCCAACACCACATCTATAAAATTGGTCCCATCTTCAGTACCTCTTTCTGGAAATTCATGCAGCTCTGAGGTACTGTATTTTTTGCTCCATAAGACACACTTTTTCCCCTCCAAAAGGGGGGTAGAAAGTCTGTGCGTCTTATGGGGCGAAGGTCCTGGAAGGTCGCTATTTTGCCTGCTCCATTCCAACATCTATAAAATTGGTCCCATCTTCAGTACCTCTTTCTGGAAATTCATGCAGCTCTGAGGTACTGTATTTTTTGCTCCATAAGACACACTTTTTCCCCTCCAAAAGGGGGGGGGGGTAGCTGTGCGTCTTATGGGGCGAAGGTCCTGGAAGGTCGCTATTTTGCCTGCGCTCACGGGGCCAGCGCAGGCGAAATTGCCAGCTCCCAGGACCTTTTGAGAGGCTTGAAAACCTCTCAAAAGGTCCTGAAAGGTCGCTATTTCACCCGCGCTCGCCCTGTGGGGGTGTATCGTGGCAAGGGTCTGGAAAGCTCCCTCGGACCCTTGCCACGCTACCCCCACCCCCCACGGGGCCAGCGTGGGTGAAATCGCCTCCTTCTGGGGCTTTTTTGAAGCTTCCCAAGCCTTAAAAGAGCCCCAGAAGGTGGCAATTTTGCCCCCTCTGACCCCCGGGGGGCAGGGTG